CCTCCTCCTCCTCCTCCTCCTCCTCCTCCTCCTCCTCCTCCTCCTCCTCCTCCCCCCCGTCCTCGCCCCACTTCCCACATCGGTCCTGCCCCACGTCCACGCGGGCCCGCGGCGCGCACCGCCCCGCGCACGGCCCCGCGCCAGCGCCGCGCGCGTCGCGGCGCAGAGGCCGAGGACGGCGCCCGCCGCGCCGCAGCGCCGGCCCGACAGCAGGGCCCGCGGCGCCCCGAGCAGCACCGCACCGGCCGGCCTCTGCGCACGGCGGCACATGCGAGGCTCGAGGTGTTCGGGCGCCGTGCCCCCCTCCCTCCTCCCTCCCTCCCTCCCTCCCTCCCCCTTCCCTTCCTCCTCCTCCTCCCTCCTCTCCCCTCCTCCCCCCTCCCTGCCCCCTCGTCTCCGCACGCCGCCCCGCCTCGTTCCCGAAGCCTGCCCCGTGCCCCCCCCCCCCCGCGCGTGGGGAGCGACTCCCGCCAGGGTGCGCCGCGGGCCCGTGCCGAGGCCGCCTGGCGCGCGGCTTTTTGCGCACAGCGTGAAATTCGAGGCTCGAGGAGGGGCGTGTTAGGTTCGAGGCTCAAAGTTTTCGGGCGCCCACGTGGGCCTTCGATGGTCTGCCAACCTCGGGATGCGTGCCATCGGCTGCGCCTCCCCGAGAGCGGCGCTGTGGGGGTGCCCACGGAAGCGTGCGTCGGAACACCTTGACCTTCAAAAGCCTGGCTTCTGGATTCTGGTAACACTCGGACAGGCCTTGGGCCCGAGCGGAACCGCGGTCCGGCTGTGCGGTGCACTCGGCGAGCGCGGGTCTGGAGGCGAGCCTTGAGATCCGGGTGCGGCGATTCATTCACCCCAAGTGTTTTCGCCTGGTTTCGTAAGACAAGGACGAAGACAAATCGGGGTGAGGATAAATTCAGAATCTCTGAGATCAGGCGGCTCTGGAGGATGTGTCGGGCGCCGCGGCCCCCTCAGAGCGTTCCAGAACACTCTGAAATCGTTCCGGAACGCTCTGGAACGGACTTGTCCTGGATAGGGTCACGGGCATGCTGGGGAACAGATCATGAATGATGAAAACGGTCTCAGGGTGTTTGGAGGCCAGTCACGGACCGCGCGGTTCTGAATTTGGAGATGGTCCACGGTGGCTCTGGAATGATCACGCGCGCGTCTTACATGGTGTCGGGGTCGCTGTGGGATGGCCTGCTCACGCGCAGCACGGCTGCTGCTCTCGGGCGCCAGGGCATGCGCCACCTTCCCTTCCCAGTCTGTTACGCAGCAGACTCTGCGAACCAAGGGTGTTCTGTGTTTTCCCTGCCTCCTTCTACGCAGCCCGCGCGTGGCTGCTAAGCGCACGAGCAGGAACTCCGTCTGCGCTGCTCGGAAGGCGGGGTCGCGTCTCGAGCCAAACCGGTTAAGTTGCTTTGCACCGCCCGCTCTCTCTGCCACTGAGTGGCTCTCGGACTGGCGCTCATGAAAACATCCCGTGGCCCGCGCCGACTCCGTGACATGTGACGCGCGCTTTGTCTGCAGACCGGTCTGCGCCGCTTCCGTGACACGTGCAAGATTTGACAACCCCTCGGCACTATGCGGTGCAAGCTAGCGCATCCGCCTGATCGGCCGAAGCAGGTGGACGGGCAAAAGGACATATCCTCTGTCCTTCCCCCTCCCTCCCGCTCCTCCTTCCCCTCCTCCCTCCTTCTCTCCCTTGTCTTCCCTCCTTTCCTCCTCCTCCTCCTCCTTTTCCTCCTCCTCCCCTTCTCCCTCTTCCTCCCACCAGCCTCGACGTTACCATTGCAACACGATCGGTGATTCCGGTGGCACCCAACGCCCTGCCGAGCACTCGCCCCCAGCGCCGCGCCAAACGGCAGAGCGAGCACAGTCAGGTGCGCAACCGTAGCCCTGCCACAGCAGGATGCGTACAGTCGGGGCGTTGACCTAAGGAACCCTAAATAAGGGACGAGGCCCCTTTTTTCCAAACGTTAACCTTCGATTTCCTGTCGAAAACATGAGGAAAGCCTGAGGCAAGCTGTGAAACACTTAAGGAACGCGGAGCCCCTCCCCAACGACAAGGGTTCCTTCTTCAGGGCCCCGACTGTATGTCACGGAAAACCTCGCTGTCGGCGCAAGCCAGATCCACTTTCTTGTCGTTCGGCCGCCCAGGGCGGCGGCCGCCTAGATCGCCACAGAGCCGAGCGGGAAGGGTAGGTCCCCTGGCCGCAGCAGTGCCAGGCACGCACAATATGTCCTTTGCGCGTCCCTTTGCTTCGGCCGATAAGGACGCCAATCGGAGGCACGCGGTAGCTTGTCTTCCACATGTCACGAAAGCGGCGCAGACCCGTCTGCAGGCAGAGCGCGCGTCACGTGTCACGGACTCGGCGCGGGCCAAGGGATCTTCTCACGAGCGTCAGTTCGAGAACCATTCGGTAGCAGAGCGAACGGGCGAGACAAACCAACTTAATTTGTTCCCGTTGTCCGAGCAGCGCAGACGGGTTTTCCGCTCGCGCGCTTCACAACCAGGCGCGGGCTGCATATAACGAGGCGGGAAAAACACACAAACACCCTTGGTTCGCGGAGCCTACTGCAGAGCAGAGTGGGGAAGGAAGATCGAGCACCCCTTGCCCTGGCACCCGAGAGCAGCAGCCGTGCTGCGCGTGAGCAGGCCATCCCATAGCGACCCCGACACCATGTGAGACGCGCGCGTGATCATATCCAAAGCCACCGTAGACGATTTCCAAGTTCAGAACCGTGCGGCCCGTGACTGGCCGTCAAAACCGCTAAAACCGTTTTCAGAATTCGTAACATTTGCCCCAACGTGCCCGTGACCCTATCCACGTTATCCTCGGCCTGGCCCCGTCCGGTTTCGGGCCCCGCCCAGAACTTTTCTTTTCCTCGGACCGCCAGATCCAACGTTCACTCTTGCAGCGGAGGCCAAAGTGACGGTCGAGCCTCCATCCTGGCGGTCGAGCCGCCATTCTGGCGGTCGGCCGCCGTTTTCGAACGGGATTAATTTGTGATGGTCCCGCGGGACCCTCGCAAATTAATCCGGTGCGAGCACGGCAACATAAAGATAAGGTCTAGTGCTCTGGTCGTGATCATTTCAATCTGGACGTTTTTCCTCGATTTCGGCCTCCGGGACCCCCGGCACCCAGACGGAGCCGCACCGGTCGGCCAGTGCGCTTGGCACGCGCGCGCGATCCGTCGTAATTTGGTTGGTTCTTCGACATCCCGTTGCGTCGGACATGCACCCCAAACGATGCAGAAGGATAGGGCGGAAATGTCCGCCTCAGAAGAGTAGGGCAGACATTTCCGCCGTCCTGTGGAAAAATCCACACACAACTTTATGGAACGTTCGCGCAAAACTGTTCACAAAGTAGGGCGGACATCCACGAAAGAAAACGAAGGCAGGGCGGATACGGCGTCGGAAAGGTAGGGCTGAAACCGACATCACAGGAGCTTGAAGCGTAAGGCGGAAAGCTTGGCCATCCTTGCGAAATCGCGTACGGCAGGTCCGTGTCGTGCCGACTTCGGCGTTGGTTTCTGACACCGCGGGGATCGTTCAACCTTGAACGATCGGCCGTTTCCGAAACGTCCAAATCGTTCCACATCGAACGATTCTGGGTCACCCGCGGCGTTCAAAATTGAACGCCGCTGGCGGGGTCGCCGCTGGTCGACACGACACGAACCTACCGTACGGCGGATCCGGAGTCAGGGCGATCGGAGCCGCACGGGTCGGCTGGTGCGGGCGGCGCGCGCGGATCTGCATGGGGGCAACCCTGAGATCCAGGCGCTGCAATCGCTTCACCCTGGACGTCTTTGCAAGGCTTCGAGCCCCGCACCCCCCTGGAAGAGTGGTGCAACTAGTCTGTCAGATTTTCGCCGCCCCACCCCCCCTGTGCCCCCGATCGCAATGTGGAGTCAGCCGCGGCCGACGAGGAAACATCGAATCGCGCGGCGCCCCGCGGGAACGTTAAAACTGATGGGCGCGGGGAGACAGAACGTGCGCGAGCATTGCATGACTCTCCCAGGGCAGTGCGGGACCATGGCAGGTCGGTCCAGCTCGAAAAAGGCAGCAACAAAGATGGGGTCTAGGGCCTGGGGCTGCGGCCATGCTTTTCCGCGGTGTTGCCACTTTTTCGCAGCGTCGGGCCCCCGGGGAGGCCCAAGATTTTTGCTGCCGCACCGACCCGGACAGAACTGGAGGGGCGGAAGGTGTCCGTGGCAAGGGCTCGTGGCCGCCGCCGCTGCGATCGGGTCGGGCACACGTGGCGATGAATCAAGGTGGGGCCATTTGGCTGCAAGCCTGGCCAAAAATGTTCAGAAATGCGATTGGAAATCACGGCGATCGATATTTTCGAGCGGTTGTTGGAAACTGCGTTCTTCAATGCTGCGAGGGGTGTGCCGGATTTTTGACACCCTCGCGTCCAAGTCACTTATCTGGTGTCAGCATTGGAGTAGCGCTGACCATACAAGTACCGAAAACAGAATACTTCAATTTATTTTGACGAGTGTTGTAGTAAGCTTACGTAGCTGAGTTTTGTGACGCCTCCGGGTGCTGGGGGCGCTGACGTATCGAGGAAATCGCCCATCAGGGAGGCGACTCTACATGCACAAAGACTCTTCAGGAAACCAGTAAGCAAACCCAGTGCTAAATCCGACCCCTCATGAAGGGGCGGGAAAACAAGCAAGCACAGCTAACTTCAAACGTTGACCCGTTCAGCTCGGCAGGCAGACAAACAACAACGCACTTCCAAACACCCTTGACGAACAAATGAAACAACCGACGGACCTAAAACTCCGAACGAACACGATGAATCTGTAATTTCTCGTTCGGTCCGCCCCCGCCGCCAGACCCCCGCGCAAATGTCGAACAATGCGTTGCACTTCTTTTCTGCTTCGGCGCGCCCCGGTCACCGGGGCCCCGCACGAAGTGTACGGCCCCGAACGACAGCAAGGAGCAATGTGTTCCATGTCTGCTTCGGCGCTCCCTCCTCCTCCTCCTCCTCCCTCCTCCTCCTCCTCCCTCCTCCTCCTCCTCCTCCTCCTCCTCCTCCTCCTCCTCCTTCCTCCTCCTCCTCCTCCTCCTCCTCCTCCTCCTCCTCCTCCTCCTCCTCCTCCTCCTCCTCCCCTCCTCCTCCTGGTACGGGATCGAGCCGCCCCGCCCATGCACAGAGCACGACCCCGAGCGCCGATGACGAGCTTTGGCTCTTCCAGTTCTCTCCTCTGGCGCGCCCCGTGCCGCCGGGCCCCCACGCAGAGCGCTGC